TCTTCTTTCCATAAGTCTTGGCCCTGATCTCATTTTGGTTCACAATCTGATCGATTGCATGAAGTCGGTTGACATCCAAACTTTCCAATTGCTGCAACATCATTTGTTCATACTCCTCAGTAAATTCATCATTAGTAAAGCTTGTGCGTCCAGATGAGACTTGCACTTTGGCTGGAAACACAGCATCTTGCCCAAAAGTGAGTTGATATGGTGAAAACCCTGTAGCAGAACTTCTGTTATTCCTATGCGCCCATAAGGCTCGAGGTAACAACAAATGCCATTTTCTTGGGTTTCCTTCAATTTTTTTCTTGATGATCCCAATGATAATCTTGTTAGTAGCTTCTGCTTGCCCATTAGCTTGGAGATAATAAGGCGAAGAATGATTCAGATGAATGTCAAACTCTGCCAAGAAGCTTAAGAACTTCTCCCCAGTAAAGACCAGACCTTGGTCAGTTGTTACTAAATGAGGTATACCATATCTATATATGATCTGATTCAATACAAAATCGATCACCTCCTTTTGATCCACACTTTTCAAAGCAACCGCCTCCACCCATTTGGTGAAATAATCTGTCGCAACCAAAATAAAACAATGATTCTTGGATGAGGGCGGATGGATTTTACCAATAATATCCATAGCCCAAGATTTAAAGGGCCATGGTTTCACCATCGCTTGCAATTCTGTTACTGGTAAATGAATCAGTTGCCCATGCCTTTGACACTCTTGGCAGCCCTTGGAAAATTGTATACAGTCCTCATAAATCTTTGGCCAAAAGAAACCTAAACGATGAATAGCCCATATCATGTTCAAACCTGCTCGATGAGCTCCACATACTCCACTATGTACTTCTGTCATCACCTCCAAGGCCTGCTCAGGACCCAAACATTTCAAAAGCAATCCTTTGAATATCCTTTTATATAGCACTCCTTCTACCAATTGGAATCGCAAAGATTTCAATCGAATTCAAATTGGTACATTTGCTCCTGGATCTTGCAAATACATGACAAGTTCTGTCCCCCAGTCGGTTCCTGCTTCAATCTGCCAGAAGGTTCCTACTTCTATCTGCTAGATGGTTCCTATTTCAGTCCTCCAGTCGGCTCCTGTTTCAGTCTCAGGGCCGACCTCTGCACACATATCTTTTAAAATTCTCTTGCAAGCCTTTTGAGCTAAATCATCTGCAACTTGATTCTCCTTTCTAGGGACGAACTCAATTATCACTTCAGAGATCTTTGATAGCAACCGACCTACCAAATCCCTGTACCTCCGTAAGTGGGGATAATTGCAAACATACTGTTTGTTTACTTGGTTGATCACCAATTGAGAATCCCCTTTTATAATAACCGACTGAACCTTTCTGGCTATCAAAGCCTCCAATCCCAAGATCAAAGCTTCATATTCTGCTGAATTATGGGTCATATCTTCTAATTGCAACTGCAAATTGACCCTCTAGCCGTCTGGTCCTTCCAACAGGACGCCTGCACCGGATCTGTTTCCTGAGGTAGAACCATCAAAGAAAATTAACCAATTTCGGGTGCTTACATAAGATACACACCCAGTCGGTTGATCCTCACGACCTACAAAATCTGCCAAAAAGTCTGCTACTGCTTGGCCTTTGACTGCCCTCAAAGGAGAATGATACAAATCGAAGGGCGCTAATTTAATGGCCCATTTCATGAGTCTGCCTTGCATCGTAGGTCTTTGCAGAATCAACTTGATGAGATCAACCTTTGAGATAACTTCAACTCTTCTAGGCAGCATATAATGTTCAAGTTTGGTGCATGCAAACACCAGTGAATAACACATCTTCTCTGGCATTGTATAATTTAATTCTGGTCCTGTGAGAGTCTTGCTCAAATAATAAATTGCTCTTTCCTTTCCATCATCTCCATCTTGAGCTAATAAACAACTGACCACTTCATGGGTATTTGCCAAATAAAGTTTGAGGGGCCGACCTTCCTTGGGAGGCATCAACACAGGTGGTTGAGCCAATGCTTGCTTTATAGCCTCTAAGGCTGTCTGTTGGTCTAGTCCCCACTAAAAAACGATTCCTCCTGCCTTCAATAATTTAGTGATTGGTCTTACCTTGTCAGCAACATTAGAAATAAACCGCCTAAGATAATTTACTTTCCCCAACAGACTTTGAATTTCTTTAACCGTCTTAGGTGGTCGGCTGGTAATAATTGCCTTGGCTTTGTTAGCATCGATCTCAATACCCCTCTCATGAACCAAGAACCCCAAAAAACTTTCAGCTGTTATACCGAAAGCACACTTAGTCGGGTTCATTTTCAATTTGTACTTCTTCATCCGACTGGAAGCATCCTTAAGATCCATCAAATGTTCCTCAAAACTAGAAGACTTGACAATAACATCATGAATGCCTAATGAGATCATGAAAAATTGAGTTCATGGCTCTTTGATAAGTCGCCCCAGCATTCTTCAAACCAAAAGGCATAACCGTCCACTCATAAATGCCTAATGCTCCAGGACATCTAAATGTTGTTTTGTGAATGTCTTCCTCTGCCAAAAAGATTTGGTTATATCCTGCATAACCATCCATCAAACTGAGAATTCTGTGCCCTGCTGCTGAGTCAATTAGCATGTCGGCCATAGGCATCACATACTCATCTTTAGGGGTGGCCATATTAAGGTCTCTAAAATCGATGCATATCCTGATCTTACCATTTTTCTTAACCACTGGTACAATATTAGCTAACCAATTTGCATAACGGCAGGGTCGGATGAAACCCACTTTGAGAAGCTTTTGAATCTCTTCTTTGATCTGAGGCATCAAACCAGGACTCATACGTCTTGGAGATTGCTTACAGGGCTTGAAATCCTTCTTAATGGGCAGTCGATGTTCTATCAGACTTCGCTCTAAACCAGACATTTCTGAATAATCCCATGCTAAACAATCAATATTGTTTCTTATAACTTCGAGCATCAATGTCTGTTGCTCTTTAGACAAGTAACCACTCAACCTGATTACTTTTGGAACCAGGTCGGTTCCTAAATTAAATTCCAGCAAAGGATCTTGTGCTGAAAAAGTTGGCTCTGTTTTCTCTAATAGATCAGGCCAACGAAATTGTTCATCTTCTTGGAAATGAACATCACATTTTTTTATTTTTTCTACTTTTTTCAAAAGCTGATCTAAATAATACTTATTAATAAGTAAACTACAATCTTGTAATTCTGCTTCTTCCATAAGAAATGTATTATATAAAGTAAGTCCGGCTTACTAAAGAGCCATATAGTACAATTGTTCTTTTTAAAAGAACATTGAATTCTGGCCAATGAATTTAAAACCCTTCTTTGGGTAGTCATTAGCCATAAAAAAATGATACATTGGAGGTACATGACCAGAATAGAAAACTAATTCTTCAACTTGTTCTGATGCTCCAAAAGGATTATCATTTGCCTCCATTTTGAAGACCTGGTTGCCTTCCCAGAACATCAGTTGTTGATGCAGTGTTGATGGTACACATTTAGATGCATTAATCCAATCTCGTCCAAACAGGATTGAATATGTGGTATCTGCATCCACCACGAAGAAAACAGAAGAAATCTTCTTTGGACCGACTTCAATGGAGGCGACCAACATGCCTTATGGTCTGGTCGGTTGCCCTGTAAAGCTAGTCATCTCAAAATCCACAGGAGATAGATCATGAATTCCCTTTCCTAACTTCTTGAGAGTCTTTAATGGCATTACATTGAAGACAACCCCATTATCTATGAAAACCTTTGCGATTGGTTTCCCACAAATATGAGTAACATATAGAGGCTTCAAATGAGTCGTCATGCCTTATGGAATAGGGAGGAAGACCAATGGGGGAACCTCTGACTGCAAGTCAGGATCCGCAATTTTTGCCCATTCTGGTTCTTCTATAGACTCATCCACCAGACTTGCCCACACAGGCTCTTCCTCAACCCAATTAATTTCTGCCATTCGGCAGGGGTTACGAGGCCCTAATCGAGATTTTACAGACCTTGAATCATTCTCTGGAATTTCGTCTCCAACTTCAATTTCGGGTTGAACAGTCAGAGATTCCAAACGAAACTCCTCCAGTGATGGGTTAATGTTAATCTTCTCACAATGTTGACATCTGAAACCCTTAACTCTTTCATCCGACAAGCCTTTACCCTTCTTCTGCATGGACCGACCTCCCTCATTATAATTAGCAATATCCCGTACGCTGGTCGGCGGCTTCAATGAGGCAGCCTCGATGAACCGACCTTCCTCTTCCTCATTCGGCTACTCAAACAAAACGACCCTGATGGACCGACCTTGCTCAGTATACTTGGCAATGCCTCAGTTGTCGTTCGGTTGCTTTGATGTGGCGACCTTATCTCTATATCTCGCCGCATACCTGCATTTGGCATTCCGAATCTGAGTACGATTCATGCCTGGGAAGCGAGGATCCACATCAATTGGTAAAGGTTTCTTATTTCGAGTCCATTTGCTTCCGACTGCACCCGTCCTCCTGGTCGGGTGGTCCCGAACTAAGACTTGGTCCTTTAATTCCACATCAAAAGAACCATCTTGGTTGTCCCACTTTTTAGCCACTGTTTTTTCACAGACCTTGAGTTTCACCTCTGGTCGGCCACTGTTTGATGAATTCCCTTTTTCTTTCCAGGAAGTTGCTTGTATATTAACCATTGTTGTGGTTACTTTTGGAAATGGTTGCTGCTCCACTCCCAAAGTAATATACCTGAGCCGACCTGCCTTAATAGCTTTTTGGATCTCATTTCGAAAATGAGTGCATTGACTTGTACTACGTGTGAAGGAATTATGCCACTTACAATATGGCCTCCCTTTAATTTCTTCCTTGGAAGCCAACCTCTGCCCCTTTGGAATTCGGATTTGACCATCAGTTAGCAGAATGTCAAATATCTCATCGGCCTTTGAACTGTCAAAGGTCGGTTGCCCTTTAGCTTCTGTTCCTGGTGCTGGCTTTAACTTAAAGCAAACATAAGGCTTCCCTGAAAATATTTCGGCCGCCATCTATTTTGTTTGATCATACTCAAAGTCGTATGTCTCTGTTTCCATACTAGCCATATGTTGGCCTTTATTACGCCTGAAATTCTGATCTCTTTCCCTGAAAAGCGATTCCAAACATCCAACCTTGGATGCGAAACTTGCCAAATCCTCGACATCATGTGCAGTGAGCGCATCCCTTAGGCGACCATGCATGTTTCGGACCACTAAGTTGGTCATCTCTCTTTCATTGATTATTGTAGGACACCGTCCTTTCATCAAACGCACCCTTTCAATAAATTGTGAGGCTGACTCTTCTGGATATTGCTTCATTTCCAATAAATCAGTCAAAGAAACCGTTGGCAAGGGATTGAAAAATCTGGCATGAAATGCCATCTCTAAACCTTCCCAAGTTTGTATCTGCCCAGGTGGCAGACTTACAAACCATGAAGAAGCAGTCCTAGTTAGGGACAATCCAAACAGTTGTAACTTGTAAAAAGGATTGTTACCAATTTTCCCTAACTGTGTTGTGAAACGCCCCACATGCTCTATGGTGGAGGATCCATCCTCTCCAGAAAAAGCATGAAAATCTGGTGGCCTGTAATTCCTTGGGAGAGGATATTCATTAATGATCCTTTCTGGAAACGGTCTCTGATAAGCAGATCGGTTGGCCATCTGAGGATTTAGACCAAACTGAACCCTCAATACGTGAGCAATTTCATCACCCAAACGAAAATGTTGATGATCAGGAACATCAATGGGATTTTGCACAGGAATAAGAATAGGATCTTGCACATGTCCCCCTGGCCTTTCCTCTCTTGTAATGTTCGGTTGAACATTTTCAACCCTTGGTCCCAGAGGAATATTATTTGGGAAGGTCAGAGGAGTCTTTCCCCTATCTGTTCGGTTGAACGTTGTGGCACTTGGAAGTGTGCTGTCCACATATGATGGCCCTGCAAAATTTGCTTGCATTCTTGATGGTGACACCCCTGGCGGCGTCTAAGTGGGTTGAAGAGTAACCCTTGATAATGCTTGATCTAACATGTTCTGCATCAGATTTTGTTGCTCACGCAACATATTTTGCATAAACACAATTTGCTGATTGTTCATTTGTTGAACATAAGACAACCAATCGGTAGGTGGTTGGGGAATCTCCCTTGGATTTGGCATGACTGGTGGTGAAACATTTTCACCCACCGGTGCTGATGATGATTGAGGTTGTGTGCCTGCCATATTGATTTTTCTGATGATCGGCCCGACCTCAGTCGTATGAAATTCTCTGGTAATGTAGGATCAGCAATCTTGCCTTGCTCCCACTGTGGTCGCCAATTTGTTGATGTATTTTTTCAACAAACAAAAAGTAAAATTCAAAGATATGAAAATATCCTTAAATTTGATTAATTAGCGTCTGAGATTAGAAATCTCTAAACACTGTACAGTACATAAGATAATTAACTGGAAAATAAAATGCTAGAAATTTAAAGTGATGATCCTCAAATCTGACTTTGCTTTTTTGAAGTTGATTGAAGATAATCTCTCCAGAAAAATCCAACTCTTTAAATATCCCTTGAGAAACAGTACTAGAAAAACCGTCGCCCGAACGGTTACAACGTCTCTTTTTGCAACCGTCTGCTAACCCTTCTCCTGTTGACACGTGCCCTCAACCGACTCAAGTATCATTCTAACTTACTCTCAACAGTATTCGCCTCTTTGGACCGACCACAGACCTTCCGCCCTTTTTGGCCCGAACGCAACTCTTTCACCTTATTGGTCCGACTACCAACCTCCCGACTTGCAGACCACCCGACTTGTTTGCTCCAGCCGCAGACCTCCCGACCTACCAACCATCCAACTTATTGGTCCAGCCGCAAACCTCCCGACTTAAAAACCATCCGACTTATTGGTCCAGCCGCAAACCTCCCGACTCAAAGACCATCCGATTTATTGGTCCAGCAGCAGACCTCCCGACTTAAAGACCATCCGAGTTATTGGTCCAGCAGCAGACCTCCCGACTTAAAGACCATCCGACTTACGGACTTTCCGATCTGCGGACTTTCCGACCTGCGGACCTTCCGACCCGAAGACTTTCCGACCTGCAGACCTGCAGACCTGAGGACCTTCCGACCTGCGGACTTCCCGACCTGAGGACCTTCCGACCTGCGTACCTCCCGACCCGCTATTTCCTTAGAAATATATCTTTTTTACCTGAGTTTCCTACAGTGCCCCTCGGCCAGTTGATCGACTCGATTGCTAGGCCCATTTTTCTTTTTACCTTGGGCTTTTTAACCTAATTCTAAATTTTATACGTAACAATAACCCTTCAATCACAGAAGATTGAACAAGCCGTAAAGTTGGTTTTATTATCGATTTACTCATATCCACATACTTTGAAATTGCATTTGGGCAAACAAAAATCAAATCTGCATACCGAATATGATTCGGAATTTTTATTTCAAAATGGAAAATAATATGTAAGAATCGTCCAAATTTTCGAAGGCATAACGATTGCCCAACCTGAAAACCATGGCCAAAGTGGCACAAAGCAAAATCAAAATTGCATACTCAAAATTGATTACATCGCCTAAATTCGAAGCCATAAAACGATTGCCCAAACAAAAATCCATAACTAAAGTGACACTCACATGTGCACGAGAGAGGACAATGGGATTTCACCAAGAGGGGGAGGAGTGTGGAAGAGAATGTGTAGTCACCTTGGAGGAGAGAGAAAGGAGAAAGGGAAGTGGCGGGAGAGAGAACTCGCCTGCACGAGGTAATGTTCGAGGGTTCGAATCTATGAACCTTGTGAATCAGGCCATTGCGCAGGTATTGTTTTTTAGTCGGGTAAGAAAAATTCTCCAATTAAACCCAACGGGCTGGAAAAGTGAGTCACGACATGTGCTCTAATGAGCAACAAGAACTACAGAAGCTAGGGAGGCAGCTGAGGTGATCTTTCTCACCCTTTTCACACTTAGGCCATCTTCAACACACGAACTCTATTTATGTAGTTAGTATTTTACTCCAATCCACAACTCTATTTTTACTTAAAAAAGAATATTTTACAAATATTTCATTTTATACATTATTTTAAAACTTTTTATATCTACAACTAATTATTATCTTAAAAAAAATTAAAAAATAAATAAATAAATAAATAAAAGAATTAATATAGAAAAATTTTAAAAAAAAGTTAAAAAAAAAACAAAAAAATACACTAACATAAAAAATAGAATTGCTACTATACAACACCAAAAATAGTGTTGTACAGTAAAAAATACCTTAAAGTTAAAAAATTGTGCTTGATTGAAGGAGCAAAACTATTTATGCAGCTGTTGTATCAAATATGCAACTGCATTGGAAGCATTCCCACCAACATATCACAAATCTAGTGGATTCATACAAAACAAAGGCCAACAAGCCAAGCCAAGCCATGACATGACAAAACCAAAACCTAAACCTAAGACAGATGGGATAGGTAGCTAAAAAAGACAAAAAGGTGATGGAAGCTTGGTGTGCATATATATATATAAATATTCCCCGGCCCCTCCATTCATTCCTATTCCTATCAAACCTATTCTTATTCCTATTACTGCCCCAACCAACCAATCAATCATAACTTTTTCTTTCTTATTTTGACCAACCGCAAACATTAGCAATAACACCCACCTTCCATTTTCGATTTTCCATTTTCCAATCTCCTTTCCAAATAACCCTCAACTATAACCCTCAACTGCTATAAACATACACACATATATATATATATATAATTAATTCTCTACTCCTCAAAACACAACTAACATTCATCTACGTACAGCAACAACAACACATTTACATATATATATATATATATATACTCACTCACTTCAGCACAGCACAGTGCATCATCACGTTAAATTACAAGACTTAAACCGTAAAAAGTGTGTTGTATAACTACCGTTTTGGAAGGAAGCATCAAACAGTATTTATTCACAACTACAAGTTCAATGCTATCCCATATAACAACAACAACAACAATAATCACATTCACAGATTCCAATCCAATCCATGCATCAACCCATTGCCAAACACAAATGAATCAACAAGTAAAGTAGCCTTAAGCACAAAAATCATTTAATGACATCAAAGACCAGGTATTGAATTGAATCCCCAGTCTGCTGGAAATCCATTTCTGTCAAAATGCAAAAAAGCGTCATCAGACACCCACCCTGTAACTGTAATGTACGTAACAACCAAGGGGTAACGTTGACGATGGTAGTAAGACAGACAGGATGCAACCACACAAACAAAGCAAAAGGGAAACAAGCCGCAAGCAAGATGCTGATGCATACATACATTTATGCAAAATCCAGAGGATTCATTTCAACCTCTACCAATTTTAATTGGACATTTCTAGCAGAGATATTCACCGTGCAGCAGCATAACTAGGAGGTAGTCTGTCTATTCGTACACAATTGAAAGCACACCCACGTCACGACACCAAAATGCATGCTAGCTATATTTTCCCAAAAGACATCAATCATAGCACTTACTAAATCTTCAAGCCATCAAGGGATGAATTTGTCCACCATACCCAAGATACACTATTATTAAAAATAAAAGCCCATGGCTAAATTCAGAAAGAAGTAATTGCTTGCCGAAAGAGCAAAACACCATCTAGTATTCTTATTCAGGTTTATTACTCCAACAAACGGAGATAGATCAGATAAGATGATAGAATCTACTAGGTTAATCTAATAAACCAGATGATCCTCCCAATCGCCATCCACCGCACCAGAGAAATCACAGCCACAATCATCGCTGGAGTCATCATCACTGGAATCTTCCTCAGATTCCTCAATCAAAATCCCCTTCCCTTTATCAACCACAGAAATCACTTTCGCCTCCTCAACAATCTCATTATCTGCCAGCAGATGCCCATCTTTGTCATCATAACCATCCTCAAACTCCACCATATCCTTGTCAATAATGTGAAACGACTTAATGGTATCTTTCTCATTTTCAGATGGGACTTCAAATTTTCGCTTTTTGTAGGAATCAGAGATATCATCCTCTTCCATTAAATCTGGGAATTTTTCAAAAGCATTTTGTAGGTGAAGATTACAGCTTTCCAGGAATGCATTTCCCTCAAATTTTCTCTAATCAGCCATGGGAATGGTGTTTGCAACTTGCAACTTTGAGGCTGCAATTCTGAAACAATTTACAGCGCACATATATAATGTCGCCCGAGGGTCACCTTGTGAGGTTGGCCTAGTGTAATAACTCCTGCTTCTTCGCACCTTTTCCAGGTAGAATCAGCGGAAAGCATCTTTACCGCAGCACAGTCCCCGATAAGGCGATAACACAGTTGAGTAGTAACTCGAGCTTGATTTTGATAGAGTTTATGTCCTCTGTGGTCAGGTTTGTCAGTACCTACTCCTAACATTTGTTAAGTCGAAAATAAAATGTCTGTATATATCATAAAGGTCTGATAATCTGATACAGGCGCTGAAATAATTCGCATGAGATGTTTCTAATATAAATTCAATTATGAACATACATATTTTGTTATGTAAATGAAACTAAAATTTCAATATATACCGTACGTCAAGAAAATATTCCATTGGATATTTGGAAGAATTTAGAAGTTCATTTCTTTTTTATTTCATTATTATGCCACAAAAAGAAAACAATAGTTATCTTCTCTGACTTCTGTATATTGCATACTGTTTATTGTTTCATACATTAGCAGCATATGAGTAGACAAATCCAATAGTATATACAAATTACAAATAATGCTTGCTTTTATAGATCCATATATGTTTATGTGTGTACAAGTATATTTGTATGCATACATCTTGTACATTTCTTACAGATGCAGAGCATATAAAGATTTATCCAAATATAGTATGGTTTAAATTTTTTTTAAATAGCATTTTTGATATCATGTTTGGTGAAAGAAAGCATTTTTATCGGAAATCGTGTGGGTTGCCTGAAAAAAAAAAAAAAAAAAACTAGTTTGGGTTACAAACCAAACAAACCCTTAAATTACCCTTCAAATAAAATGATAAAAAGTTAAATGATCTAAAGCCGTTATTGTTTGTTTATGGATTATTCTAATTCAAAATATGATATTCCCAACCCCAAACCCAACTCCGAAAATATCAACATAATATTTCATTTATCAAACAGTCTAATTAAAGCCGATATTACCTAATGAATCACCCTGTGGAAAGGTATATACAACTATGAGATATTATGTGGCAAATCACCCCAGTAGATCAAAGATTTATAAATTCAATGGACCAATTTAGCTCTTCAAAGAAGATATAACCCCTTGGCCGGTTCAAACTAGAGTGTCACCGCCACGCCACACCGGAAGGCTCCTTCATCAACCAAGGAGCCCTATGTTGCGGCGATAAGGCTAAAATAACCATTACAAGCAACTAATTAGAGATTTAAAATTAACACGCACTAGTTTATCAATTAAATAAGTAAAGTTCGAGTAAAAAATATAAATTGAAAATAGTTCAAAAGACATTAGTCTTTAAACATAATTAATGGATTTCTAAAGCATTTTAGAAGGTAAAGTAGTTATAGTTTCCCCGATAGATCATATGACATGGATAAATCATTTAGGTATAATAGAAGCATCATCGCCTACAAAACGTTTGTAAGAAAATGGTCAACACAACGGTTGAGTAAATGCAATTAATCGAAAAAAATTAATACAAATAAGTCATGATTCATATTTAAATGCCACAAAATCATTTCAAAAAGATAATTTGAATAGAATGTCACATATCACATAAGGATAACTCACACACACAAGTCTTTTAGCGTCTCCCTTATATTTCCTTTTCATTCTCAAATAATGGTGATGAACACATCACGAAGTAAACTCCGCTAGGCATTAATTAGTTACACATAACAAGCATATAGCCACAACCCTCAAGGAAAGCTACACAATGTGTATCTAAGGGCTCGAAGCCCAAAGTACACGTAAATAAATTTATTTATTAGTTTGCGAGGGGCGCCAATCGACCTGCAACCCTCTAGTTTCCAATATAACATACCAAGAGGGGATTGTACACAATCCATCCTTCCATCACGGATGACGGTCTAAAGACCTTTTCATCGTGAATGACGGGCACCTCAGAATCAGCCAAAAAGGAACCTGCCATCTCAATCCCTCGGCCTTGCCCATTTGGGTTCTAGTTCGAGGTTAGCTAGTTATCCTAAAATACCAGTATACCCTCATGTGTTTGCAAGGCACAGAGAAATTATCAATTTGACCCAATACTCAACATGCTATTAGAAAAATTTAAAAGAGAGCTTTAAACCCAAATCGCTCCAATTGCCAATATTTAACCAAACAAAAAGTAGGATATTAAAACCCAACAAGTTCGTTTTACTCTCACTTTATTTTGTCAAATAAACATTCGAATAATATGTCAATACCAATAGGCATAAATCTTTTCCCAAAAGAAATAAAATTAACTAGGTTAGGGCAAAACTAGGATTTCAAACCTATTCCACAAATTCTACAATTTTCAATTTAAAATACTATAGTAATCTTCACATAAGCCCTAAGAGACATTATAATCAACTTTCTAGAAGAAATTGGCAAAACCTAACATTTTAGGGCAAACCCATTTGAAAATAATTATGAAAAATATCAATAGAACATATCATTTATTATTTATTTTACCCTACTTGGCCCAAATTGGTCTAAACTCAATTTTTACTTCTAATTTTAACTCAATTCCTTAATTTCTTACACCAAAAGTCCAAAATAAATTAGGCTCAAAATAATATTGTCCGACTCCGGCGAGCTTTGGCGAACATCCGGCGATTATTTTACGGGATATTACATCTTTCCCCCCTTAGGACATTTTGTCCTCGAAATCGATATGTACGTCTGGAGCTACCTCAAACAACTCCGCCAATTTAAGCTTCAAAAGATTGGTAGGAAATTCTATGTCTCCGATCATATGACAAACACTTCTACGATTAAACAATTACAAGGTACTAGTTGTCTTGAAGGTAGCCTAATCTCTACCGAAATCTATACTCGAGAATCTTATTCTAACCTCTTAGCACATCTACTCGATATGAAAGAAAGGGATGCATCAGACTAAAAAAGGATAACCACTGGTAAAGAATTCACCAAGAACGTACCAATCAGAACGTCTCTCTGGTTCTCCACAACTTGTCCTCTTGTCATGACATTGATGTGACCTCTCTGGCCACTCCTTCCTCCTCCTTTCGCATGTTGAGGTGCCACTAGCGGCATACAACTTTGCTGCTGCAGAACCAGAGCCCTCTCAATCGCATTCGGCGCTCCAACTAACTTGGGATAAAACTTCTTGACATGTCCCGACTCATGGCAGTAATAGCAAATGATGGACTGCCCATCACAACTAACTCCCAGATGAGACTTTCCACATCGGCTACAAATAGTTGGATTGCCATGACTATCACTCGAATTCCCAGGAGTAAATTTAGGGCGAGATGCATAAGGCGTACCCGGGAACCTCTCCGATTGATCCTCTCGTTGATGGTTCTTCCACCCTTCTTTCACCTTCCCTTTTCCTCTATCTGCTATGCGGATTCCATCCCTTCGCTCTTCATACAATATCCAATTTTTCCGATGGATGTTAGCCGCTTTCTCATATGCCTCTTGAAGGGTAGTCATATTGAAACTGGCCAAGAACCATTGAAGGTCTCCGTCTAGCCCGCCAACAGATCTTGTCAACTTGCATCGATCAATCGCCGCCAAATCCGGAGTATAGGCAGCCAACTCGTTAAAACGCGTAAAGTACTCATCCACCATCATATTACCTTGCACCAAGGCACTAAATTGATCCTCCTTTGTTCTCTGAAAGTGTGGGGATAAAAGCGCGACCTTATTATCCCTTTAAAAACCTCCCACAGTAATCTAACCAAGTTGCTCCTGGAAGCCTTCTCATTATTCCACCATTTCTTGGCCGATCTTTCAAGTAATACGAGGCTATTATAGTCTTCTCTCTTTCTAGGCATCTCACCACCTTAAATATCGGCTCCAAACGATCCAATCAATTTCCCAAAATAGTCTGGTCCGATTGACCAGTGAAAGTCGGAGTATTATGACGTAATACAACATCCATAGCACTTCGTGGCTGCTGAGCAAACTGTCCCATAAACTGACGAAAGAAACGGGACTTTGAACTGAGGCTCAAGTTTTGGGGATGCCTACTCTCAACCTCTTCGTCGGACTCAGGTGCCACAGGGGGCTAAGGAGCATGCCTATGAGGCATTTTGCTAATCGAGACTATACCTAATAAGCACTAACTAATCAAAGAGCATGACCAATGCACATAAACACACAGAATAAACATAAAATGCAATGTGTGCCATGAATGCACCTAAACCCGACTAAACCCATGATCTAATTGATTTTAGAAATTCCAACATCTTTCAAGTTTTATTAACCAAGAGCATGAGCCTTTAACCTAGGCTCTTATACCAATTGTAACACCCCGGCCGACTCAAACCGAAGTGTCACCGCCACGCCACATCGGAAGGTTCGTTCATCAACCAACGAGCCCTACGTTATGGCGCTAAGGCTAAAATAACCATTACAAGCAACTAATTAGAGATTTAAAATTAAAGCGCACCGACTTATCAATTAAATAAGTAAAGTTCGAGTCAAAAACATAAATTGAAAATAGTTCAAAAGACATTAGTCTTTAAACATAATTAATGGATTTCAAAAGCATTTTAGAAGGTAAAGTAGTTACAGTTCCCCCGATAGATCATATGACATGGATGCATCATTTAGGTATAATAGAAGCATCATTACCTACAAAACGTTTGTAAGAAAATGGTCAACACAACGGTTGAGTAAGCGCAATTAATCGAAGAAAATTAATACAAATAAGTCATGATTCATATTTAAATGCCACAAAATCATTTCAAAAAGATAATTTGAATAGAATGTCACATATCACATAAGGATAACTCACACACACAAGTCTTTTAGCGTCTCCCTTATATCTCCTTTTCATTCTAAAATAATGGTGATGATTGATGACTCCAAATATAAGCATATTTTTAACTTGACAAAAATATGTATTACTTGAATTTCTATATAAAAACCATCATAATAACTTGTAAATGGCATACATTATTGATCTATATCGCTTGGCATGATCCAGATTTCGTTGTTGAGATTATTAACGATTTTTGCCCTTTCTAAGCGGTAGTTTAGTGCCAGAAAAGCTAAGGCATACGCCACAAGCGGCAGCCACCTCCGCTCGCAAGCGCTCAGAAATCTCCTGAAAAGACTAAAGCATGAGAGGCAAGCGGTAGCCTTCACCGTCCGCAAGCGGGAGCCTCCCGCTTGCAAGCGACAGCCTAGACACCCACCACTGCAGATTATCACCAGATTCCAACTAAGTATTCCAACTGCAGCGGTACAACCATTTCATTTCCAGCGAGCACAAGCGAGCCTAGCTGCGCTGATGCCCTCCAACCCTCCGGCAAGCGAGGAAAATCTGAGCCCTTGCAATTCAATGCGATCAAAGCAAGCGCCCTGGGAGTTACGGCCAGCAACTGTTTCAACAGAATAACTACCAGCAACCGCCTAACTGCCCAGCGGTTGGAACCGCCAGCAACTGATTGCAACCGTCTCATTTAACCTGCTATAAATAGGGCCAGATATCTTTATGTAAAGGGATCGATACTTCGATTATGATATACTTCTAGCAATTACTTTCTGCACGCTAGTCGTCTTCCTGTCTCCGAGAGCTCCAACCCTGAGTTCTCCACAGGAATGGCCAAGGGAGGAGGGATTTCCCTACTCCCTTGGTCAAGTCTTTACCGCTTTCTTAGATTAGATTACTGCTTTCAATTACTGCTTTGTAGATCTAGTCTTTCCAGCTTTAGTAGTAATTAATGAAATATCATTCATTTCTTCATACTCATTTTTTCCACACTTAATCCATACTTATATAAACTTTGAATTTAGAGAACCTCATTTCACTGGTTTAGAGCAGGAGAAGAATTGATTAATCTAAGCCTTGTTATGCGCCATAAAGCAGTTTCAAGGTAGTTAAATGTAGTTAAGTACGCGGGAGCCTTGTCGATCTGCTTAACTACTGTTCTGAATTCAATTTTGATTAAAAAGAGGTAACAGAAGGGTAAAGCCACTAATGAGGCAGAAGTTGGGATAATTAATGGGACATAGACGGTGGTCTATTAGGTCGCAGAGATTCCTAGTGACGACAGTAAGGTTTCTTTCTTATAATATTCTGATTCTGGGTGTCATTGAAGTCTTGTTGTAAATCCTTTTAGGTCAAAATTTCAGTGTTATGAGTTCTTTATATTTCAATTTATATAATTACATCATCCCCTTCTAACCGTTTCCGTAATATACATATATCTTCGATAACACACTTACATCGCTCGCTCATTACATCCAGGGAAATCTATCCATTTAGTAACGCACAAGTCAAACACAACACCTCTCCTCCACTCTCTGTCGCCCCTCTATATATATATATATAGATATACACTGTGCCACTCGCTCATGTCCCGTTCACTCGGTAACCGTCATTCATCCATGTCCCGTTCACTCGGTCCCCGCTTCCGCTCATGTCCCGATCATCTAGTTACCACTGACACTTCATACTCCGCCCTCGCTTCGCTCATTTCCGCTCATTCATTTTTTACCGCTTTATTTTACCGTTTTTTATAGACTAGAAGTTTTGATCCGCTGCAAGCGGATCCTTCCCTGCTATTTTCGTCGCTTTTTCAAGATCTTCACCTGTGAAATTCATGACTTAAAATCCTTGTGTTCGACCTGTAAACTCACTAGTAAAAAGAATATAAATAATTGTGATAACGACTCAAGGTCTACAACCACATGATTTACTATATCTAATCGCTTTCCTATGTACATCACTCACTGATTTTCGAATATAAATTCCCTGTGGATTTGTAACAAACATACAAAAACAAATTCCCGTTATCAATGACACATCACGAAGTAAACTCCAATAGGCCTTAATTAGTTACACATAACAAGCATAGGGTCACAACCCTCAAGGAAAGCTCCACAATGTGTATCTAAGGGTTTGAAGCCCAAAGTACATGTAAATCAATTTATTTATTAGTTTGCGAGGGGCGCCAAACAATCCACAACCCTCTAGTCTCCAATATAATATATCAAGAGAGGATTGTACGCAATCCATCCCTCCATCATGGATGACGGTCTAAAGACCTTTTCATCGTGAATGACGGGCACCTCGGAATCATCCAAAAAAGGAACCCGCCATCTCGATCCCTCGGCCTAGCTCATTCGGCTTCAAGTTCGAGGTTAGCTAGTTATCCTAAAATACCGGTATACCCTCACGTGTTTGCAAGGCACAGAGGTGGAAGGCTATGCCTTATCATCCAAACAATCAACGAGTTGATCGAACTTGACAGGTACTTTTAATTACCAATTTGACCAAATACTCAACATGCTATTATGAAAAGTTAAAAGAGAGCTTTAAACCCAAATCGTTCCAATTGTCAATATTTAACCAAGCAAAAAGTAGGATATTAAAACCCAACAAGTTCGTTATACTCTCACTTTATTTTGCCAAATAAACATTCGAACAATATGTCAATACTAATAGGCATAAATCTTTTCAAAAAAAAAAAATAATTAGTTTAGGGCAAAACTAGGATTTCAAACCTATTCCACAAATTCTACGATTTTCAATTTAAAATACTATAATTATCTTCACATAAGCCCTAGGAGAACTTTCTAGAAGATATTGACAAAACCTAAACACTTTTAGGGCAAACCCATTTGAAAAATATCAATAGAAAGGGCTTAGGAATTAGAACATATTATCTAAGATTAATCCCACTTACATTAATAGAAAAATCCAAGAAGAGAAAGTTTTGAAGAAGAAAATTCCAAAGAAGAAGAAGGTGCTTGGCCGCACTGACCGGGAAGAGAGGGCTCCCTCTCTTTTTTTTTTCTTTTTTTTTTAATTTTATTTTTTATTTTATACTTTATTAACATAAAAGCCCAAAATAAATTAGGCCCAAAATAAAGCTTTCGTCTCTCAGTGTCAGTGTCGGCTTGTCCGACTCCGACATCAGACTCCGGCAAGCTCCGGCGAACTTCCGAAGATAATTTTATGGGGTATTACAATATTGCTAGGACAAATAAAAATAGCTAAAATTACAAACATAAATAAAATCCATCTCCCCATAAAAGTTCAGATGAGGTAGTCTTGTACAATTCACAACATTCTATGCATTAATATAAGTTGTAACTCATAACTCCTCTTCCTAAGTTCTGAACACATTCAGGTCCCTATTAAACATCAAATCAAGACTGGAGATCAAAAGAACAGAAAGCAGTCTACATAAAGTTTCAACATACTATATCAGTTGATGCATCGATGTGAGATTCATTTGATTTGAACCCCCCTTAGTAAAAGGAAGAATAATCATTCTGCTAATGATTGGAACATATGCATAGAAACCCTCAACCATATCTCATATTCTAAACCAATTCAATCTCTCTTGATAGTGAGAAGATAATCACAACTGATGGATTGACAATAATTATAACTAAAACAAAACATATTATTATCTATCATTCATGTTCCAAATTGTTTGTCCACAACTAGTCTCAGTACAAAAACTCACCTCAGTATTAAATGCAATATTTCACAATAGTGATTTTGTATATCAAAACATTATTGCACATACTAAAGACTAAATACCATCTGGAAAAACCAACAAATGAAACATAGAAAAGAGCATATCTTCTCAGTTAGAATTTTTCTCATCCATAAAGGGAGATATATACATACATGTTAGGCTTAATATATACAATGAGTTCTGCTTGAGTGAGAACTGAAGAAGAGTTGGTAATAAAGCATATCAATATCTAATTCTAATAACTTATATATTTCAATTCGTAATGATTCAACTATTCAATCTTATCTATTTCAATAAATAATACAAGCATATCAATCAAACATGCATTTATGGGACATAATAAACAGAGTTAGAATCATATAAATGAAATGAGAACAAACTAAAAGACCCGATAATCAAGCTGTATTGATTATGAGCAATAAAAGAAATACATAGACTGAGATATTAGCTACCGTAATAAGCAACCAAGAAGAAAAACAGATGAATCAAGCTAGAACACATACATCTATCTTGGCCAAATGAGAATCTTATTTGCAGTATATTTGCTATTTTTCGAAATCAAAGAAAATATTCTTGTTTACCAAAAATACTCCTATGACAACCATAAGTAAATAAGTAATAATTCAGCAATATGAAGAAGCACAGTAAGAATCTGCCACAAGTTAAATCTTAATGTGCAGTTACATAACACATTTTGTTGCTTATTATATTTACCAGAAAAAAAAAAAACTAGTTCTTAACTTTAATATTAGACTTAAATGCTGCAGATGTTTGAGTATTGCAATCTATGTACCTTACAACATCCTTGAGCAGTTGTTGCCATCCCGGAGCACCCTAAAATGCATCACAGATACACATATCTAATAGCAAAGGCCCTTAACATAAATGAATTGTTCAAAGGCATGATCAAAAGGTCAGTGGACAGTGATTGACAAAAAATGTAAAATAACAAATAAATTGTTCAGCCTATCATGATGCTTCACAAATTTCAGACAGAGAGAATCATGTTTTAACAAAATGATAGCTGAAATGCTCACAGCAACATAAAGCAAAATCGAAGAATTTTCAAGAAATAAGCATGCAGTTGCTAAGTAAATGCATGGATGGTGTTGCAAAAATTAAAATGTCTTCCAGACTGGGTAGGAAAATGATGCAGAACTCAGTACGCATCCAATATATGGAGTAATTATACAAGCAAGGACCCCGCTATTAATCCAAATCTTTCCATGGGCGGATATAAAGTAACAAATTAAAACCAGGTATGTGAAAAAAGGTAGCATGATGAAACATAAAATTTAAAATGGGCTTACATTTATAAAAGAGGCACAAGATACATAGTTCCGACATGCTTGCCTTTCCAGTAGACCTTAAGATTGTGGTGATCTTAGGATCATCATTCATTCACTACCCCGCTACCGCTGATATCCTAATATTCATTCCTTCACTTTCTAAATTCTCTTTTTCATTTTGATTCCTTTAGCCTTCGTTCCTCCGTACATTTGTAGAAAAATCGCAACATCTATTGTACAGACATGGTACCACTGCCCTGTAATCTTTAGCTGAAAATTGCCAATAGTTTGATGCTGTGAAGACGAATGGGCCAGAGCCAAAGCCAGCACAACTAGTTTATCTTTCCGGCAATCCCACCCTCCCTCACTGAAGCTTGATTAATTACAAACTCCAAATAAACGTAACACATCACATGAGCGGCATTTCACGCGCTGAATGTTATGTCAGTCAATAAGATTAGTGTAGCAAAATACTCCATATAGGTGGAGGGAGATATTGTGGTCGACATCCAGCGCCGCAGATCCTAGCAAGCACGCACCTGAACCCAACAGTTTAGTTATACTTGTAATAAGATGTGGATTGAGAGGGTTTCGTTATTGAATTTTGTACCCACTACTCTTATATAACATGTTAAAGTATAGTTACTAAATAATTAAAAAGTATATTATAAAAAATTAATATAAAATTTAAATAATTTAATTAAAATTAAAAAAATATAAATTATAAATTTAAAATATAATTAAAATATATAGTTATATTTAAAAAAAAAATATGAGAGAGAGAAGAGGGACGAAAAATGAAAAATATGAATCTAAAATATAAGAAATAATACATAAGGCATCAGTAAAATATATAGTGGGGTGGTGTTAACGAGTTGATCTGTTCCATCGTTGGGCCTCAGGCAACTGGGTTTTGCCCATTTCATATGTATATATATTACTTAGAGAAGAGTCCGTAATTATAAATTTTATTAGATTATTATAATTAAATATTATCAATATATAAAGTTTAAACATAAAGATAATTTGAATAAATTAAAATATTTTACACGATCAATTTAGTATTTTAAATATTAGAAATCTATATATTTTATCATTTAAATATATTAAATTATAAAATACTTATCCGTTTTTAGATAATTATGCCATATTTTTTATCGGTTAAATTTATTTATAATAAAAAATTTTATCCACTCATAATTTTATTATTTTTATTTTAAAAAATAATAATAAATTTTGCCACTATTTTTTTTATTTATCCCACCATAATATCTTCAATTTATTTTTTAACTATCCTACTTTTTCATAAAATATTTATGTCCTGACAATATGACATAAAAAGTCGGGAAGAATGGAGTAAGAAAAATGCATAATTTACTTGTTTATCCTATATTAAACAATATATATTTATATCGGTTAATTCAAATGTTACTATCGAAAATTTGATTCGTCCTTCTCTCAATAAATTTATCTTTCTAATATTATATATATATATATAAATACCAAAAAAATAACACATAAATAAAATCACATGTTCATACATATAAAATTGTTGTTAAATTAAGATTTAATAAAAATTACTATAAATATAAATTGATAAGAAATAATTAAATAAAATAATTAATTACTAAAAAGTTATAAATTATACAACTCAAAAAACAAATAATTTAAAATTTATTATATTATGTATTATAAAAAAATAATTGAGTTTGTTTGGTTTTAATTTAAATTTTTGTTATAAATTTTGATTTAAACAAAATTTTGATTTGATATTTTTTGAGAAAGTATTTGGTTTTTATTTAAAATAATTGGGTGTGTTTGTTTTATCAATTTTCTTAGAATGTGTTTTGATATTTTTTTGAGAAAGTATTTGGTTTTGATTTTTTGAGAAAGTATTTGATTTTGATTTAAATATAATTGAGTTTGATCGGTTTTGATTTAAAATTTAATTGTGTTTGTTTGTGAATTTTTATCCAAAATTTTACTATTTATCATCAAATATTTATTTTTTATTTTCTATATTATACTAAAATTTAATTTTACGTTCAAAACAACACATCAAAATTTATTTATTTCGTATTATATAACTACTCAAATTTAATATTTTTACTATTCAAATCATAAATAACATACCTTAAGGGTGCGTTGGTAAAGAAAATGTAATCGTAGAAAAATAAAATAGATAAAAGAATTGCAGAGAAATGAAAATGAAATAGAAAATGAGAATTTATTCTCCTATTTGATAAAATAAAGAATTCAAGTGAAAAATGTAATAGATAATCAAATCTCTTGTTTGGCTACTATAAACAGATAATTGCATAATTATGATTTTTTTCAAAGAAATTTTATATTTAAACAAATAAAAATCATACTTAAAAACAAATAAATTAATAATAATAACATAATTTATTAATTCAAAAAAATCCTAAAAAGTACTATAAAAATTATTAAAAATAAAATAAAATACTTCAGCATCTTAAATAAGCAAAGTAACTATAAAAATACAAAATAACTATCTCATAGAACCATCTACAAATGTTTTAATCATGCTAATTTTATCATCTTGACTCAAGGTAAGAAATGCCCGTGCACACAATACATCCTTTCCGATCACATCAACTGCTTTAAAATGTTGTATGATATCAATGTCCGGTAAAGCTCTTATCTCTTCACCAACTTTCTCATACAATTCACGAGCTTCTAAATTTTCTTTGAAATTGACATTAAGAGATTCACCAACAATATCTCTAAATTTAACTAATACTTTTTTCATCTCTTTGCACGATTCCCGATATATTTCAAATCCGTATGTGCTTTTACGTCTCTTACGTTGGCTTGAAACACTACCGGTTGGTTCGTCAAATCGACGAATATCCTAATAAACTTCTTCAACAAAATCAAAGTTATCAATATCGTTTGAAAAATTTCTTTGGGTCTCTTGGATGAGATCTTCTTCTTCAAGATCAGTTGCTTGACTACCCGTTGCTTGATCCTTACCAAAGATAATACACAATTTATCATAGAACGAGAATGACTTGCCTCAAAAATTTGCAGCACCTTTGTAAGACTACAAAAAAATTATAAATAAATTTAAAATAAATATCATTTAATATATGTATATATAAGTGTTTAGAAAATACCTTGATGTATTCGTCCCAAACACTTTCCTCGTCAATAACACAACCTTTTTCTTCATCCCAACAAACCCACTCGTGTGCACCATATCATACACAATACTAAAGTGAGTATTCCATGTTTTCCATCCTAGATTTTATATGTGGTTCCACTTTCAAACCGGAGTTAAGAAGACTTATATCTAGTAATTGTTGAATTCCATTTAAATAGTCCGGTTTAAAACCGTTGTCAGCACCCGCATATTTCCCAGATGCATGTAAATCCATCGATGCATCAATCAACTTGTGAATGAAAATTCCCTTAAGTTATTTTGACATATAAACTAATGTTGTCTTAATTTATGCAGCAAAGACTTTCCAAAAGACAAAAGACATATTTGAGAAAAGATCAAAATATGGAATCTTACTCCTTCCATTTCGGTGCAAAGGGAAATTAATGTGAACTCTTTTATTCCAGGAATGTGAGTGATTTACTCAACCGAATAGGGTTGAAGATTAGTGATGAGTGATTTGGAGATCATACTTTAGAAAGAAGAATATTGAGTGAAGTTCTAACGCTCTATCCATATCGATTCTCCTTAGTTTTGAATGAGTTTTTGATAGAAAAATTCGCCGGAGAGGTCGAAGGTGTTCAGAATTAATGGATTTCCAACCGGAGGGAATGATCAAGATCTGGACTTCCTTGCTGTGTGGTCGTTGTTAGTACGAGGTTGTAGCAGCAAGAACCTTAAGAGGTATTTTCTTGGGTTAGCCATGACTAGCATTAGAGTTAAATGAGTTGTGGTTGTTTGTGTCCTTAATCAGCACTGGTCAGCGGAATTCCTCCTGGATTGGTATCCCCCGGATGTAGATTTGTTGATAATTGAACCGGGTCAACAAACACCTTGTCTTATTGTTGTTTTATGTTCTGCATTGTTTTTCGTTGTTGAAACATAGTTATAACTGTGAACCGCCCACGCTTCGGGAGTTGGCCCTTTAAAGTGTTCGAATGTGTTTTGTTCGATAAATCACTTCCCCAACATCTGGTATCAGAGTGGTGTTCTCTAATTCGTTGAGTAGATCTGGTCACAGTTGCAGACATGAGTAAGGAATGACGTTCAACATCAAGACCTCCATTGTTCGATGGGACAAATTACCAAAGTTGGAAGAACAAAATGGAAGCCTTTCTGATGCTTCAAGGTGAAGATGTTTCTGATGTTGTTGAGTCTACATGGTCTCATCCTATGAAAATCATCCAAGGTGAAGATGGTGTTACTACTCTTGTGAAGAAACCGAAGAGAGAATGGACGTTGAATGAAAAAGCTGCTGGAATAGCAAACTCGAAGGCCCTATTTTCGATTTTTAATGCTGTGGATGAAACTCAGGCTTATATCAAACTTCAAAATTGCCAAGGAAGCTTGGGACATTCTGGAAAATGCATTCGAAGGTTCAGCGCAAGTCCGAGAATCTAAACTAGATCATGTGGAGACATTGTTCGAAGGAATGAAGATGAATGAAGACGAACAATCATTGTTTACTATAATCGCTTTATGGATGTTGTCAATCAAGCAGAAGCTCTTGGAATGCACTTTGAAGAAAAGAGTCTGGTGAGGAAGATGCTTAAAAGTCTCACAAAAAATTTCAGGCCAAAGGTGATTATGCTCGATGAACCACCAAAGCTGAAAAATATGACGTTGGATGAATTATACGGCACTTTGGTGAGCTATGAAATGAATTATCTCGAAGATGAAACTCCAAAAAGCATGGCCTTAAGTGTAGAGGACATAGAGCTGATCGAATCTGATGAGGAAATGGCATTTCTGAGTCGAAAACTTTCAAGGATGATTAGTGAGAAACGTGCAGCAAAGATGAAATATGGGAAGTTTCAGAACCGTGGTGGTTATCAGGGTGTGAGTACATCTAGCTCACAACGGAAATACTCTGAACAGAAACCATCAAATTACAGCAAGCCAAAAAAGAAGTTCGATGGTGGATTCAAGAAGAAGTTGTCTGAATCAGTTCAAGAGTCTACCTGCTATGGATGTGGAGGAGTTGGTCACATTAAATCTAAATGTCCAACGGTGAAGAAAAGAGAGAAGAATGCATACCAAGCCATATGGAGTGACAATGATGATGAAAGGTCTGTTGGAGGCGAAGAAAACTCAAAAAAATGATGAATTGGTTGCTTTCATGGCCGATGAATCTGAATCTATTAAAGATTATGGTGCTTCTACTGATAAAGCTTCAGAGGAATCCATAGAACTTGATTCTGATGAATTAATTGAAGCCTATGAGGAGATGGTGGCAGAACAAAAGAAATCACTGTGAAAAATAAAGAACTTTTGGACACCATTTACCGGCTGAAAGCTCAAAAAGAAAAGTTGGATAATGAAATTGAAATTTTAAAGAAGGATATTCATGAGAAATCAACTGAAGTTGATAGATTAAA